TAGATAGATAGATAGATGGGGTATATGACGAGATCCCTGGGGTGCAACGTGGCACTGTGGGATGGCTATGTCCCCTTAACTCACTAAGCTGGGTTGTCTCTCACAATGCGTCACTGGTGACAAGCAGCAAACCCCTCCTAATGCTGTTTCCACTCAGTACAACCACATGTGGAGCCCCACACCCAGCTAGATTGCATGGATGCTCCCAGAGCCATTCACGAATCACACGGAGCAAGGCACTAGCCAAAACCCTCAACTCCCAGCCTTGTACCACTGGAATATACCGTCTTGCACCGCTCAAGACCTTTTCTTGAGCAAGGCAAGTTTATTAATTGTTTCACCACTTCCTCGATGGAAAGTGGGCATACACCAGCCTTTGTGACCTGGGCAGGTTTACTGAGCACTTCAGTCAAACTCACTGGTAAGGAAAAACATTAGAGTAAGTTTATTGATTACAAAAGATGGATTTTAAGTGATTATAAGTGATAGGCAAAAAGTCAGAGTGGTTACCCCTCCCTCCCTCTATCTATCTATCTATCTATCTCCATACACACTCATCAATCTATCTTATCCCAAAATAGCTTCCATTTCTGGCCCATCCCCTCTGCCTGGTCACAATCAGCTTGGTTAGCTGCAGGTTTACTGCCCCAGGGCTCCTGAGGTGCTGGGGTGTCACCTCCTGCTGCTCTGACTCTGGGGATGACTGGATTTCAACCACACACCCCGCACAGCTAGGTGCACAGACACACCCTGCACCTACAGCAATGCACCCCACCCCTACTGAGCAGGGCCGGCTCCAGGGTTTTTGCCGCCCCAAGCGGCAAAAAAAAAAAAAAAGCTGTGAGCGCGATCTGCGGCGGCAATTCGGTGGGAGGTCCTTCGCGCCGAGCTGGAGTATGGGACAGTCCGCCGAATTGCCGCCGAATAGCTGGACGTGCCGCCCCTCTCCGGAATGGCCGCCCCAAGCACCTGCTTGGCAAACTGGTGCATGGAGCCTGCCCTGCTACTGAGCAAAGCACTCCTGCAGAGACACACCCGCAGGCATGCATACATGCGCAGCGCAATGCACACCTCCCCAGACACAGGGGCCAGCTCTCTGACTCACCCCCGCAGCAATGAAGCCACGGGTGTGTGCACACACTCACACAGAAACCCCCCCCCCAGTGTCTCCCACTTTTGCACAGACACCAGCTCCCCCCCCGACACACACACACACACACAGTTATACAACAGGGATGCTGCAGCCTTGCCCAGGCTGGGCCCAACTGTGCCCACTCAGGTTTCATCCAAGGCCCAGTGAGATTGAGATCAGTTTACAGGCCTCTTGCACTCACGCAAGGGGACAGGGGGGCCCAGCTGTCACTGTTCCCCCCTCCCCTCGCCCAGTACATATCAAGATCAAGGGGACATGGGAGGAGGGCTGATGGAGCCACATGGGGGGAGAATCAGTGAGGAGAGGGGTTCCTCCTCCCTCCACTGCCTACCCAGGCAGGGTCTCCCATCCTTTAACACCTGCTAGACGCAGCCCTGGGCCTCCCTCTTCCCTCTTCCCACCCCCTAGCCCTGGCTCCCTCCTTCCACCCGCAGCCCTGGCCCAGCTGCCGACACTTGAGATGCTGCCTTTTCAGGAGCCGATACTGAATCCTTCAAGACTGAATTCCAGGCGGGCCTGGGCCAGGTCTCCACACAGAAAGGTCATGGTGAAGGACGATGCAAGATGCCTCCCAATGCCTGCTCCCCTCCTGGCCTGAGGAGCCCCGGGCCCACAGCGCCCCTGCCAGAGACACAGCGTGGGGCCTGGACAGAGCGGGGTGGGACCGTACCCCTGGCCCTTCCCCAGGGACACCTGTCCCCCGGCACCTCCCAGTGCTTTGCACACAGGAGTGATCCAGACTTCACCCCGCCCCATTCAAAAGGGGGAAACTGAGGCACAGAGAGCCTGTGGCAGGGTCAGGAATAGAATCCAGGAATCCTGACTCCCAGCCCCCCCCCCCCCCGCTCTGACCACTAGACCCCACTCCCCTCCCAGAGCCAGGGATAGAACCCAGGAGTCCTGGCTCCCAATCTCTACCCTCATGGGTTTCCTAGGACATACCAGCCTCTCTCACTAAAATTTACTCCTCGGTTCCCATGTTATACATAGAGAGCTCCCTTCCCAGCACTGCCCCTCCCCCAGCCCTCTGGGACCCCCCAGTCACTCATGGAGCTGCAGCGCTCTGGGACCCCCCCCAGTGCCCCCCACTACTCATGACAATGATGTAGCCTCTGCCCAGCCACCTGGACTTCCCAGCTCTCTGGGACCCCCCCAGTGCCCCCCACTCATGAAGGAGATGCAGCCCCTCCCACACCCTGGGACCCCAGCCCCCCCCCACTCACGAAGGAGATGCAGCCCCTCCCACACCCTGGGACCCCAGCCCCCCCTCACTCACAAAGGAGATGCAGGCTGCCAGCAGCAGGATTCGCACCAGCAGGTCCTCAAACTGCTCCACCACCAGCTCCCAGATGGACTTGCCTGGGGAGTGGGGCAGGGTCAGGGAGCAGCAGGGATACACACACACCCCCCAGGGATCCCACCCCTATTTTCCTTGGGTGTGGGGGCACAGGGGGTCAGAGGCAGGGACACCAAGTCACTAGGGTGCCAGCCCTCCAGGACTGTCCTGGAGTCACCAGGAATTAAAGATTCTCTCAGGTGATGAAAGCTCCAGGAATCTGTGCAACCAAAACGGGCAGCCCTGCGAGTCCCAGGGGCTGGAGCCGGAATGGAGAATGGGGGTCGGAGCTGGGGAGTCAGGTTGTGGGGCAAGGGAGGGCCTTGGGGGCAGTGGGTTGAGGGCGCTGGCCACAGGGGTAAAGTTATAGAGCAATGGAGGCACTGGGCTATCAGAGGGGCCGTGGGCCCTGGGAGCAGTGGGTTATGGACAGAGGGCTGGCCACAGGGGTCAGGTGATGGAGGGGCCGGGGGGAGTTATGTGGGGGCGTTGGCCCCGGGGTTTGGGTTAGAGAGAGGTTGGGGCTGGCCTGAGGATGTGGCTGGTGGTGGCTGCCGTGGGCTCTGGCACTTTGCGGTTTTGGGGGCACCAGTGGCTGGGACTCACCTTCCTCTGCCGGGAGCTCTGCCCATGGAGCCGCCGCCGCCGCAGGAGTGAAGGAAGAGAGGAGAGGCTGGTTAGCACCGTGAGCGGGAACCCCCGGGGCAGGGCGCATGCTGCACACGGGGGAGACAGGAACGAGCCCCAAAGGAGGGGACATGGCACACAAACAGGGGCAGACGGATTCATTGGCCTAGGGCACAACATCCCAGCCCATGGGGCCTCAAGCCCTGGCACCTTTGGCAGGCTAAGGGGAGAGTGTGTGTGTGTGTGTGTGTGTGCGCGCACAAGACACTGAGACACACGCTGGGCTGTCAGGAGGCGGAAAGGGGGGGCAGGGCCCCCAAAAATTAATGGAGTGAAATGGGAGAGGGATGGGTCCAGCTGAAATGAGGTACCAGGGCCCTATATTTCCCTAGCTGGGGCTGCACAGACATGCAGAGAATGGGGTACCCACATGCCCACTGGTGTAAACATGCCCTCAGACATGTAAACATGCCCTCACACACATGAACACACCTGCACACACACATGTAAACACACCCACATGTGAGTGAACTCACCTTCATACATACAGGAACGCCCATACACACCTACACACGCCCACACGCCCTCACACACATAGATGCAGACAGTCGTTCACACACAAGTACTCACTCACACACTCTCCTGCAGTGACCCAAGCTGGGCTGAGTGAACCCGAGCTCCTTGGCCTGCTGCTCTGGGACCTGCACCAAGCGCAGTGGGGCTGGGGGTGGCAGGAAGCCGGAGGATATGGGGCTAGGAGGGGCACCACGGTGCGGTTGGGATCATGCCCATCCTCAGTTGCAGTCTGAGCCACCCATCACTTCCACACATGCTGGCCCAGCACAGGACTTTCCTGCCCCGCCAGCATTAGGGGCTCCCCTTAACCCTGTGCCAGGACAGGAGGCGCAGAGTGAAGGATGCCCTCCGCCCCACGCAGCATCTCTGGTGTCCGATCCATTCCAGAGGGAATTACAGGCGGGTTATTCTTAGCCAAGGAGCAGCTGCCTTGTCCCCAGGACAGCCGGGCCTTGCCTGTGTCTGCATCTTTGGCTTCTCTGTGATAGGCTCTGACCCTGATTCTGATAAGCGGCTCCCCAGGCTCTGATACGCGGCTCTCCGGGCTCTGATATGTGGCTCCCCGGGCTCTCATACGTGGCTCCCGGGGTTCTGATCCACGGCCCCCTGGGCTCCAATACACAGATCCCTGGGCTCCGATACGTGTCTCCCGGGGTTCCGATATGCAGCTCCCCGGGCTCCGATACATGGCTCCTGGGGTTCTGATACGTGGACCTCCCAGGCTCTGATACGCAGCTCCCTGGGCTGTGATACGCGGCTCCCTGGGCTCTGATACGTAGCCCCCCCGTCCTCTGATATGCAGGTGCCCGGGGTTCTGATATGTGGCCCCCCCGGGGTCCGATACGCGGATCCCCGGGCTCCGATATGTGGCTCCTGGGGTTCTGATACGTGGCCCCCCCCGCCCCCAGGCTCCGATACGCGGCTCCCCGGGCTCTGATACGCGGCTCCCTGGGCTCCGATACGTGTCTCCCGGGGTTCCAATATGCGGCTCCCCGGGCTCCGATATGTGGCTCCTGGGGTTCTGATACGTGCCCCCCCCAGGCTCCGATATGCGGCTCCCCGGGCTCTGATACGTGGCTCTGGGAGCCCTGTTGATTCTTGCCCTGACACCCAGCTCCCCTCATGCTGCTACACACCTCCCAGGGCCCAGTGGCTGATGCCAGCCTCGCTCATTGTCTCTAGCTCCATCCCTACCTCTCTGTGTCCATCAACCCCATGCACCTTTAGCCACCTGTTCCATTCTCTCCTGTTTGCTCCTTCTTTCTCGCTCCCCAGCCCCAGACATTTCTCCCTCCCCCCGCCCCCACCTCCCTGGACACAAGCAAACTCTCTGTTCCTCATTCTCAATCCTTCTTCCTTTCTCGGTCTCTTTCTCGCTCCACCTCTCTCTGCCTCATCTCTCCCCGCCCCGGTAGCCGGTCCAGCCAGATGTGTGCAGATGCAGGGCGCTGCCAGCACTTACCGTTGGGGCCGTATTTGTCCAGGTTCTTCTTCACGTGTTCGGGCGTCAGGCCAGAGTTCTCGCTCACGCCAAAGTAGGCCAGACACTCCTCCACGGTCTTTGTGTGGGAGTTCTCCATGGCTGCTCCACCAGCGCTGTAAGCCCTGTCCCCCCTGGGCTCGGCCTGTCTCTGCCCCTCACAAGACCCGGTTGGTCAGTTGGTCTCTGAGCGTCTCCCACCTCGCGTCCCCTGCCACTCAGCAGACCATGGCCCTCCTCGGCGCCCAGTATCCGACAGGGGAGCCCACGCAACCCGTCCCGGTAGAGACACCCTCAGTGGGGATTGGGGCTGTCCCTGGTCCTTATGAGGGAGCCCACGGGGAAGACTCCCGGGCCCCGTCCCTGTGCTCCCATTGGGCAGCTCCCCTGACATCACGGCAGGCACCGGCACACATATGGCATTCTGCGCAGGGAGGTATTTTTGCTGACTTGAGGCAGAGGGAGGGAGACCGAGAGGTGACTTAGGAAAGTGGCTGAGGCGGCCGCACACCGAGATGTCACTCAACGTCTGCCAGCTCCTTGCAAGAAACCTCCCCCACCCCCCATCCTGCTTCTTGGCTCCTTGCGGGTTATTTCTGTCCCTTGGCCATAATGGACACGCGGCTCAGGGCTTGTCTCACTCACATTTCCTCGTCCTCACCCCCTTCCCTCTGTCTAGTCCTCCGTTCCTCTGTCTACCCCCCAGCCAGATGAGCTCCCGTGCTGGCCGTCCACAGCTGCACCCGCTGGCCAGATCCCATGTGCCCCCCACCAGCTACCCAGCCAGTTGTGCCCACAATCACTAACCAGCAACCCATCTAGATCGACCCACCCGAGGGAAGGGCAGGCAGTCCATGGGCTTGGGGGGGGCTGTGAGCCAGGGGGATCCCCTCCATGGGGGAAGGGCTAGCAGCCCCAGGGCTGGGGGGGGGAGCTGTG